TTTTATAATAATTATTATTATTAAAAATTTAATAAATATATTCTAAAGTTAAATAGTTTTATTTTATATAAAAAAATATAAAACTATTCTACTAATATATCACCTGTTATTTTATATATTTTTAAAAAATGAAATATATTATTATTTATTATATAATATATTCTAATTTATTATTCTAAACAGACTGTTTAAAATTATTATTATAAATTTAATTATTAATTTTTTAAATAAATATAAATATAATACCGCTTTTATTATAATTAATAATTTATTAAATATATTAATATTTTAAAGAATTACTTTAAATAAAAAAGCAGACTAATAGAATCTTATTCTTATTAATTATATAAAAAAATTATAATTAAAATATTCCGAAGTTCTTTATTTCAAACTATAATATTAAATTTATATTATTTTTTAAAAAAGGTTTTTTAATATTTTTAATTTTATATAATTATATTCTATTATATCTTATTCTTAAATTAATATTCAGTTAAAATAAATAATTTAAACTGTAAAAATAATAATATATTATATATATATCTACTAAAATTTAATAATAGTTTATAATTATTTTATCTATTATTTTAAATATTAATTCAAATCTGAATATCTTAATAAAAGAAATATTTTATAATTTAATATTTAATATAAATCTAATATTTTTAATTTATAATATATATATTTTATTATATTAATTATATTTTAAATTTATATTTTTTAATCAAGATCCGTTCGGTTGTTCCGATTTTTTTTTTAAATATTATAAATAGATATTTTTTAAATAGTTAGATTATTAAAAAATTACTGCTGTTCTTAACAAATATATTATTCTATATAATTAATACTGTATTTTAGTTATTTAACATTTAATATATTAAATAAAATATATTTTCTGATTTAATTGATATATATATAAAAAAATATTGTTATAAATAAATTAATTTATAATTATAAATACTATATTTTAACTGTATTAAACTGTTTAGTATTTATATTTAATATTATATTTAATTATATTTTAATTTTTTTATTATTTATTTTTTCTATTTTATTTATTTTTATTTATTATATTATATATTCTAATATTATATTTTTTACTGTTCGTCTTTTTAATATTCGTCCTTTTATTTTATTAATTCTATATATATAATTATTAATATAAATATTGTTTTTAAAGCTGTAGAATCTATAGTATTCTTTATAATATTTATTATTTTTTTTAATTCTGCTGTACTTAAACTGCCGCCTTTCTTACCGTCTATAAATATTTTTCAGTTTTATTGAATTTGTTTCTCTTTTTTTTTCAAACTAATCAACTATATCAGTCATACCATATCCACATATTCGTGTTCTATCATAGTATATTGAAACTTATATTTTTTATAATATTATAAGAAAGCTCTGATAGCCTTTAATTTTTTTAAATATAGATATTAAAACAAAAAGAACTCAATGTTAATCAAAATACCATTTTTTTGAATCGTAGTAAAGAGATATATCGATTTTGGTATGGTAAAATGAAAGAGAAGGGTGTAAGATATCCGTATAGCGCGAAAATCGGCTAAGCGGGGATCGTCACAAGAGGTCTTACAGTATAACACAATTGGTAGAATAATTGGTAGAATAATTCTTGTGATGTATCTATCATACGTATGCCTATATAAAGTAATTCATCCAAGTTAGCAGCTATACACAGTAAGGACTCATCCTTTCGACGCGTGGGTCGTAAATACCTTACTAAAGGCTTTGGGTAGCACCATGCTTCGGCAGTTGTTCCCACTGGCCAGTAATGATGTCAAGAATCGCTAGGTAGCCGGGTGTCAAACTTTGTTTTCCCCGGTTGCATACATAATTAGGGGCAACACAATCCAAAGTAATCCAGAGCTAACTTACCATCGATTCCCACCCAAGTCGAGTGCTCAAATACCATCCTGAACATTCTATTCTTTCACCCCATTGATTGTACTTTGAATCTCTTCAACTAGCCGAGGTTGGTGACTGCCACCTTGCCTACCCCACATTGATGCCTTGATTGTGACGTCTCAGCAAAGCTAGCGTCTGCAGATTCAATATTGACTACCTTCCCATCTCAAGCTGGTGTTTCTTTCGAAGATGGATCGCGCTGGTCAAAGCAGTCGTCTTGTCAATATACCCGATACCACCGATTCAGGAATAGCTGGCACTACTGCGAGCTCAATTATCCCAGGGAGCCCTGCAGTCGTGATCCCCAACCAGGAGAACACCGTTTCGAGTTCAGCACATGAAAGTCCAATTGATGCACAATCCCTTCATGCAAGCTCGTGCAAGTCAGATTGTGTAATGGAGTCTCAAATCAGCGAGCAGGAAAATCACGGCATTCGGTCATCGACTGGAGCGCCCAGAAGACTTAGTGCGAGCACAGCTACAAGCTCCTTAAGTGAAATTGAGCCTTCTTTGCCGAAATTAGGCAGAATCGGTGTTTGTGCTTTGGATGTCAAGGCTCGCAGCAAGCCAAGCCAAAATATACTGACCCGCCTGCAAGCTAAAGGGGGTTTCGAAGTAATTGTCTTCGGTGACAAGGTTATTCTTGACGAGGCTGTAGAAAATTGGCCAGTTTGCGAATACCTCATAGCATTCTTCTCGGATGGGTTTCCATTGGACAAAGCTATCGCATATGCGAGACTTCGGAAGCCATTCTGCGTCAATGATTTACCCATGCAAAAGGTGCTATGGGACCGTCGCCTTTGTCTCAGAATACTAGATCATATGGGTGTGCCGTCTCCCAAGAGAATGGAGGTTAACAGAGATGGTGGACCGATACTAGAATCCGCTGAACTCGCTCAACATGTATATAGGATGACAGGGGTCAAACTTGAAGGGCCCAGCGACGGCACTGGAGGAGGGGCGTCTCGAACAATGAATGTCGCAATGTCTGATGATGGTGATTCTTTAATTGTTGACGGCAAAGTTCTCAAGAAACCGTTCGTTGAGAAGCCGGTGAACGGAGAAGACCACAATATTCACATATACTTCCCGAACGACCAACAATATGGGGGGGGTGGCAGGAGGCTTTTCCGCAAAGTCGGTAACAAAAGCTCCGAATATGATCCCAACCTCATTGTTCCGAGATCGATATCGGAAAACAATACGAGCTACATATACGAGCAGTTCCTGAGGGTCGATAATTCTGAGGATGTCAAAGCCTACACGGTTGGACCAGATTTTTGCCATGCCGAAACGCGCAAGTCTCCTGTAGTCGATGGGCTTGTTCGGCGCAATACACATGGAAAAGAAATCCGATACATAACAAAGCTGAGCAAGGAAGAAGCATCGATCGCGTCGAAAATCTCAAATGGGTTTGGGCAGAGAATATGCGGGTTTGACATGCTCCGTGTTGGCGAGAATAGCTATGTGATCGACGTGAATGGCTGGAGTTTTGTCAAAGATAATAACGACTATTACGACAAATGTGCTGGTATTTTGAGGGAGATGTTCTTGAATGAGAAGCTCCGATGCGAAGGTCTGCCAGAGCCAATTGACTCTCTGCCTCAGGAACCTAGCCACAACTGGAGGCATTCTATATCACACAGGAATACTTTGAAGACCCTATTGAAATCCCCCAGCTCATCAAAGCTTCAGGGCCCTCAGCAAAGTATCAACAGCTCTGAAACCGGTTCATCTGAGTCTATTGTCAACCGGCCGATCTCGTCGCCTTCAGGCGAGAGCCTGGACAATGGAAGCAGCCACAAAAGCCCCGTCGCGCGAGAAAAAAATGCAACTACAAGACCCCCCGATCCGCAAAACCTGAAATCGTCTATAGTGTCAGTGGATTCATTCATTGATGGCTGCCCGCCCCCTCCTCCTGCTTCCAAGCACTCCTGGAAATTGAAGGGCATGGTCGCGGTCATTAGACACGCCGATCGCACACCAAAACAGAAGTTCAAGTTCACTTTCCACAGTCAACCTTTCATTGATCTGCTGAAAGGTCACCAAGAAGAGGTGGTTATCAAAGGCGAAGCCGCGTTGGCGAGTGTTTCGGAAGCAGTAAGAGTTGCTATGAAAGAAGAGCTCGAAGATTTGGATAAGCTGAAGTTACTACGCACATCTTTGGAGAGAAAAGGCGGTTGGCCTGGCACAAAGGTCCAAATCAAGCCGATGTTCCGCAAAAGGAGACCTGAAGAGTTACGAGGACAGTCCTCCTCTACTCACGTCACGACCCACCTTGCTGCGGAGTCTCAAAACGAGTCCCCCCAGCCCACGTCCTGCCACGACCAAACTTTGACAGAAGATAGAAATGGCCGTCCCCCAACGCGAAGTGACTCAATCTCTGGTGCTACTTTTTCGAGGTTCTCAGCTGTGGAGAACGACCTTATCCTAGATAAACTTCAGCTCGTCATCAAGTGGGGAGGTGAACCGACCCATGCTGCACGCTATCAGTCCCAAGATTTAGGGCTCAACATGCGTGATGATCTGAAATTGATGAATAAAGAGGCATTGAATAATGTCCGTATCTTTACTAGCTCAGAGAGAAGGGTGAGCACTAGTGGTAAGTTGGACCCTTCGGTTGTATATGGGTGAAACGACTCTCTGACTTGCTGTCTTAGCTCAAATCTGGGCCTGCGCTTTTCTTGACCAGAAGGAACTTCCTGAGAACTTCATTCAGGTACGAAAGGATCTTCTCGATGACTCCAATGCCGCAAAGGATCTCATGGACAAGGTCAAGAAGAAATTAAAACTCCTTCTTCGGGAAGGATCGGCACCATCACAATTCACATGGCCAAAAGACAATATCCCCGAACCATCAGTGGTCCTCGCAACTGTTGTCGAGTTAATGAAATATCACCGAGGTGTTATGAGACATAACTTTCGCATGATCGACAAGTTATCGCCAAAGCCGTTGGTATCCGTTCCTCCTGATATTTTTGACGGGGACCGCACCCGCCACTCGGATGCTGAGTACGAAAACCCTGCATTGGATTCCATCCAAGGACGTTGGTGTACTGGAGAAGACCCGATGCTCTTCAAGGAGAGATGGGAAAAACTATTCGCCGAGTTCTGCGATACGGAGAAGGTCGATCCAAGCAAGCTTTCTGAGCTCTATGATAGCATGAAATTTGATGCCCTACACAATCGGCAATTTTTAGAATGGGTTTTCATGCCGCCAGATAGTGATGACAGCGAGGACGAACAAAATGTTCATAGCTGGAAGAAGATCACGCGGAACGACCTGGTTGGAGATACCAAAACAAGCAAAGATGGTGTCAACCATGAGAACTATGTACAGGCCGATTCGTCATCCTTTGCTCATCGATTTGGCTGGAAGAAGCGCATGCACGCCTTTGAATCAATGCCACACTTTAGAGGGCTCGATGACACTTACGACCACTACTTCAAATTGTACCCTGGCTCTAGTCCCTCGAAGTGTAAAATGGATGGAAGACTATCAAAACTGAGAGAGCTATATAAATTGGCCAAAGTTCTCTTTGATTATGTGACCCCACAGGAATATGGGATTACAGACACGGAAAAGCTTGAAATTGGCTTGCTCACGTCGTTGCCCCTGCTACAGGGAATAGTCAGAGATCTTGAGGAAGTTCAGGCCTCCTCTGATGCGAAGTCTTTTTTCTACTTCACAAAGGAGTCTCACATCTACACCCTGCTGAATTGCATACTGGAAGGAGGGATCCAAACCAAAATCGCCAGGACAGCTATACCTGAGCTGGACTATCTTTCACAGATCTGCTTCGAGCTCTATGAAGCTAAGGACTGTGAGTCTTCAACTAGTTCTTACTCCATTCGCATATCTATCAGCCCTGGATGCCATGCATTCGATCCTCTAGATGTCCAGCTTGATTCTAGACATGCTATTGGCTGTGCTCCTCGACGAAGCCTGACGCCCCATCAAGATTGGAAGGAAGTCATAGAAACACTAAAGGCGAAGTTCGATACGTAAGTATTCTGTCTAGACCTATGTCTCGCAGTAGTAGTGATGCTAACCAGAGGGCTTCAGTGTCAGTTTACCGAAGACCTTTATTGCTGTGAATTTGAGTGACAAACATGTACCCGCTCGGGGGGATATCTCTCCACCAGAATCGAACGGCATCTAGCTTAGGTGTAAACACTCGACGGGACGAAAGGGCATGACCCCTTGCTAACCTAAGATCTGTATCTCCTGGCATTCATTCCATTGATTTTAGAGATGATCTCGCTGCAATTAGGCCGTGTCATGTGCAGTAGTTTGTATTTGCTGCTACCTAGCAAACTGTATCATTCCAAGTTGGAAGGCCTTGTTGCTCGCGATTTGCCTCTCACATAAATTCTCATATTATAATGGAAGCATAGACCACTACTCGCTCTGAATTAAAGTCTCCATGGTACATATGTGTCCACTCGAATCGATGTAGTGAAGCCTAAACTGCAATAGGCAGTGAGTAGTAGTAGTACCAGTTCAGTCATGAGTGCTAAAGGATTGGTCACTAACTTATGCTTAAATGACCTAGCGACAATTGACTAAGCAGAACGTGCAAAACCTAGAAGAAGAGCCTCCTGATTATTTACCAATTAGCTCCAAGCTGGTCCGGTCGTAGCAGCCTACCTGGGCTAGTACTTGAGTCGAACCCGTCAACTACCTGTATCAAAAAATCAGGTTCTCATGACCCCCGATCTCTTCCCCTCCTCGACCAGCAAGCAGTCAGACAAGCAAGTCGTTTAAGGAAGTCGGCATAGCATTTTCATCTGCGATTTCGAAAGGAATTTTGCCTGTCAGTCTGACCTATACTGAGCCCGTTGTCTTGGCGCAAGTACCGCCTTTAAAGCTCCTATTTCCGGATACGTCACAAGGGGCCTTGCCTTGAGAGCCGGCAGGAATATGGCACCAGCACTAGGCCCAGATAATGGGAGCTTCCAATGCGAGTTGAGTGGACATGAGATTCGATGCAGACACCAGCAAACGCAGAAAGAGATTAACATCTCGATCAATAATTTGATCTGTATCTTGCCTAGAGGCAATGAGCTTGAGGCTCCCAGGCATGTCATGCTGTTTTTGTGGCTTGACGAGAACGAATCTGGGGTCTCGAGGGAGTGTATGTCACTCCAGAGTATTCAAGTACTTTCCTGGCCTGTGCAGCTGTCCGAATTCGTCTGCCCTGGTATACCTCCCTACCTCGGCACTTTCACCCATGAACAGGTGGAAAAGGTAGATATCCACGTGATCATTTCAATCACTTCTGGCACACGTACAGGCATGAGTGTGTTCGAAAATATCGTCAGCCCTCTCTTATCGCAACTTGGTGTGCGCGAGTATGAAGTTCATGAGACCCAGACCGCACAGACAATTGTTGAACTGTGTCACACAAAACTGATACCTCGCGCTCAAGCGAACATCAAACAAACAATAATCCTACTTTCAGGCGATGGAGGTCTGACTGATATCATTGACTCCTTCCATGGTACAGCAATACAATGTCTTGCCAAGCCTAACATTGCTCTGATTCCAACCGGAACAGGCAACGCCATGGCTAGTTCAATAGGGCTCCTAAAAAGTCGAGCGGCTGGACTTTTCACGTTGTTGCATGGGCACCCCGCCCCTATACCTGCTTTTTCGGCTACTTTCTCTGCTGGTTCAAGGCTCGTCACAGAAGCGGGCAGCGGAAGAGTCAGTATTAATTCACACTGGCAGAGTAAGACAGGCCATCCTACAATATACGGTGGTGTTGTCGCAAGTTGGGGTTTGCATGCTGCGTTGGTGGCGGATAGTGATACTGCTGAATACCGCAAGTATGGAGCGGAGAGATTCCAAATGGCTGCAAAGGAAATCCTATTCCCATCAAATGGTGACGATCCACATAAGTTCCGCGGTAGTATCAGCTTCACATGGCGTGATCGCCAGACCAACAAGCAACAAACAGAGGTTTTGGGATGTGAAGAGCACATGTACGTGCTGGTAGCTTTGGTATCGAGCCTCGAACCAGGTTTCACAATATCACCTTTGTCAACTCCATTGGATGGCTGCCTGAGGATCATACATTTCGGACCAATGACGTCGGAACAGGCAATGGGCTTGATGAGCAATGCATATCAAGGAGGCAAGCATGTCAATGACGCCAGAGTAACTTATCGTGAAATCGAGAGCTTCCGAATAACCCTGCACGAGGTCGACGAGAGATGGAGAAAAGTTTGTATAGATGGCAAGATTATCGCTGTTGAGCATGGCGGCTGGCTCGAAGTACAGAAAGTCTCGGGGCACTATCTCAACATTCTCATACCTCCTTAGATTTACCCGATGTCTGAATGAGAGGCATAAACTTGCGTTGCCACGGATTCCAGAGTGTCATGTACATGATAGACACTTTGGGGAGGTTGGGTTGGACAAACCCTGCAGTGATTAGGATAAATAATAGCCATTGGACCCCCATTGCTCTGTACATCGGCCATACGGATATTTTTGTCCGTAATATGTGTGGACGTTTTAAAAGACTTATATGTTTTCTACGCCGCCAATTAGCTAAGATTGTCTAACCCTCATAGCTGCATCCCTTTAATTTATCAAAAAAAGTATTATATATATTTAGGTATATTTACTATACAGTTGGAACCGGCTTTTAAAAATAGAAATATCAATAAATAGAAAGTTAAATTTATTTGAATAAATAAATATATTAATATAGTTAAAAATTTGAATATATAAAATATTTTATCTATTAGCTGAACTATAGTGCAGAATATATTCAATAGATATATAAATATAATCTCGATTTTTTTAAACTTATAAATATAAAAAATAAATTAATTAATCTTTATATTTTTTATTTTTTAATATTTATAATTTTCTGTTTATTCTTCTTATTATAGTACAGATCTAAGACATCTCATTTATTCAGTCTATCTGATTTATTTAGTTTATTTAGCTGATCTGGACAATCCTATTAATCTTATTAATTCTAAATATTGTAATAATTCTACTGTCTTTCTTAATTGTTTTATATATAATATATAATCTTTTTAATTTTTATTTATTTTCAATCCTATTTATAGCTCTTTAAGCTATTTGTATAAATTAAAAAATAATCTAACTAAGTAGCTAATTAAAAATTAAAAGAATTATTATTAAATAATTTTAATTAGTTTCATTAGTTTTATTATTTAAATCAGCTAATATTTATTAATCCAGCTTATATTTTAATACTATATAGTTTTTTTAGAAATAGTAATCTATTAAGATATTAGCAATTCTATAATTTCTAATAATATTAAATATTTTTAATATTCAGAATAACAATATGATTATTATAATAAATTATACTAATATACTATAAATATAAAAACAGTTTATATTAACATATTATATATTTTAATTATTTATTTTTGGATTAAAAGATAAATAAATATTAATAATAATCAATATATTACTAATACTATTTGGAAATCTTATACTATTAACTAGTTCAATAAAATTCTATATATTTAGATTTAGTCTTATATTAAGAATAAAAATTATATTTTAATTTTGTTTTAATAATCCTTAACAATTCTAACCGTGTTTATACGGCTTAGAATAAACTGTAATATTTAAAATAAAATAACTATAAATTTATAATATTTTCTTATTAAATTTAAAGATTGAATATAAAAAGTGTATATATATTCTAATACTTTTTTTTATTAAAAGATAATATTAGTTAGGATTCAAAGATATACTTATAACTAATATTTTATTTTAAAATAAATATTATGATTTATTTTTTTTAAATTTAAGATGACTATTATTTGTAACTCAATACTAAAGTCTGTAATTATTTTCAAAATTTTAATTATTTAGTTTTATATTTAAAAAAAATCAACATAGATTTTAAAATAAAAATTAAAAATAATTTATTACATCTAAATATGGTTTTTAAAATTTATATATTACATATTAATATCTTTATATTTGAAGACCTTTTGCTGTAATATTAATAAATATTTTTATTATAAATTAAATCATTATTATATTAAAAACTACTTTAAATCTAATATTAAAATTCTATATACAGTATCTGTAAAGTTTTTATTTTTTAAATATTATTTATTTTTCTTATTAAACTGGCTTAACCTGACCGTTATACCTTAATCTTAACCTGGCCATAACCAGGCGGTCAGATTAAGATATGAAATCAGATTAATTGTTAGATAGAACGGTTAACCGCAGTTAACTGTTATATCTAAACTAGTTCTAAAAAGACTAGTTCAAACAGAAATCAGCTAGAAATAGACTAAAATCATACTAAAATTAAGTAGTTATATTCTATCCTCTTTTACTGCTTTTTAGAATAGGCTTAATTGCTAAGAAATTGGACCCGCCGGTTAACTGTAGGTTAAGCCGGTCAGAAATATATATATTTTTATATCTGACCATAACCTGCGGTCAGATATAAAAATTTTAATTAATCTGACCTGACCTGGCTGTTAGCCACTCTATTTCTTACTGTATAGTTAAGATTATATTTATATTGGAGTGCAGGCTGGATCGGTAGGTATTGACTAATCAAAATAATAAAAATAATAAAACTAATTAAAAATTATTTAATAATAATATTTGTAGCTGTCACCAATTCCTTCGCCGGTAGTGACAGTCATCACTGCCTGGGGTGTTGACTACGTCTTTGGTGACTACGGTCTACCGTATTATCATCTAGCTATTCCGGTCCTCAGGGACTCCCTCCTCAATACAACTAACTTCCACCATACTGAATGAATCGTTCATATCAATGTTTCTAATTTTTAACTAGGTATTTAATTAAATTATTTTTATATTTATAAGTAAAGTATAACTTAAAAAGCTATAGATTAATTAAAAACAAATGGAAAATTAAAAAGATTATATATTCAAATATAAAATAATTTAGAAAAATAATAAGTTTATTTAAATATTTAAAATTTATAAAATAGTTTAAATTAGTTAAATAAATTAAATAAATTAAATAAATTAAATAAATTAAATAAATTAAATAAATTAAATAAATTAAATAAATTAAATAAATTAAATAAATTAAATAAATTAAATAAATT